CTCTAGTCCACGTAATATTTGGTGTTGGTTTACCAGTTGCATTGCAACTCAAAGCAACCATCGAGCCTTCGCAAACGTCTTGATTCCCGCTCGCATTCACAATCTCAGGGTGCTCTTTAAAATAATATGGTTTTGAATTAGGAGACAAAATTTATTCCTCATTTATAACCAATTTGCCATGTCATTAAAAGAAAGTCATGAAAACTTCCTGTTAGTACAACTAAGTAACACAGCTTTATGATCAACCTGATTTCACAGTCTGTGGATTGTGTTCAATAGGAATTTCATTTTAAAATGTCTGTCTTGTTCAGACATGTTTAAACCCCGGCAAAGAAAAATAAGTCTGGTGAACAAGGTCAACCTGTTGTCAAACCTTCCCCATAGAGTGCTTTGAAACAGCAATTCTCGTCTTCTTTTAATTTTCATGGAGCCACATTTCAAATATAGGAAAATTTTCTTATAGGAACATTCCAAAAGGGAAGAAAATCCAAGCGGAGAAAACGTCAAACGATGAAAGAAGACGCTTTTTGCTTAATTAACACGAAAAGTTTACCAGTAGCGCCCTACCTCACATACACCCAGTCAGTTTTCCTGACTAGCCTTCAAATATATGAAAAGTTAACTATTCTGCACGGTTTACTGTAACAGAAATTCATTGTAAGTCCCTTTTTGCCTAATGTGACAAGGGAGAGGTCTGAATCCCATACAAAATTGATTCAAATGCACCATATGGGGTAGACGCGTCAATTACGAGTCACACCCCCTCGCCATGGCTACAGTTACTGATAATGAATTTTTCCATGCCACTTAATATTTACCTAAAAGTAGTCTATAAGAAGACATTTGCTAACTTACACCTTACCTAAAACTGTAACATTTACTTCATGATCAGCAAGAGCAGTCCCATCAAGCTCTACAATGTACACAATCTTGTATGTTCCTTCATCTTCTGTCGTAACATTGTTGATAAGTAAAGTGGCTGGATCATTTTTACTAATCTCAATGTGTGGGGCTCTGGGTTCATTATAAGAGGGTCTTCCTAAAACGCCTAAAAAGGTTTTGGAACCAATCAGATCATAACCTGAACTTGACGGATTGAACTTTTTCCAATGAATTAAATACAATATCTGACTCTTGGTCTGTTCATCAGCAGTTAGGGTGAACTTCCAGGTAAGCGACTGGTCCTCTCCTTTTGTTACCAATGTTGGATTGGCTGGCTGTACCGTCCAATTAAAAGACTCTGTAGTTCAGCAAATAATAAATTGGCAAATGACTTTTTTCTTTAGACTGATAGCGCTGTACAAAATTTAATGAGGCAAAACACGAATGAAAATTGTTATTAGTGCTTAAAAAATGAAACCGCTCGGATATCATATCTACACTGCTCGTGGAGGAGTAGAGATGATACAATGCTTATAATTTAACTTCCTACTTTTAAACAGGAATTAGCGTGGTTTAATGAGAGAAAGTTGGTAGTTACGTGGCGGAAGAAGTTGTTACTCCTTCAATTCATTCGTCTCATGTTGATTTTTGAACATTAACTGGGAAGGGGTTGGCTCCTTTTACAGGTACCACAAATTAAAGTTAGATTTGAAGCTTATTGGAGAGTTTTTACTGATGTAGACCTCTAGGTGCTGCTTCCTGGTTGATTGAATAGCCCGGCGTCAAAGAACTGTACATCTTTGACTTAATTTAAAACGCGTCTTAGTTTGCTTTTTGTGGTTTCCCTTTTAGAGACCGTTTTCACAATGCGCATGACAGTGACCACCCTCTAGTCGTAAGAAGCTACCACAAGCAAAAATCTACCAGTCCGATAAAATTTCTGTTCGTGGGTTTCTTGTTGACTCTAAATCCGACAACAGTTAAACAGGTCTGTACAGTTAGTGAAATACGAAATATTCGCTCGCATTGAGATGATACAATGTCAACTAATAGGCACCCGACGCGAACAGCGAGTTTGTCGAACAAACACAATCAAGTTATTCCGTATAAAAATAATCGCGCTCTCTGTGGATTTGCACAAAATCATCGACATTGTACAATTTATTTTAACAGGACGTGAGGACTTACAGCGCTGCTGAAACCGTTTAAACGCTACTGCTCTATACCAATTTTTATGTGCTAATAACAACCTAATCTTTGGCTTACACGGTGGCCATTCACTTTTTGTGCTTAGTTGTTCGAGTTCAACATTGGACTAAAAATTCCATATCTTTGCACGTCTATGTATGAAACTCTATTTGCAGGTTATTGTGGTAAGACTTATTATGCTGCGTTTGGAGGGCATAAGAAAATATAGACATGTCTATAGCACAGCCACAGCGCCAGATAATTTTTCAAGTTACATATTTTCATTTCATGACTTATTGGCGCAGTTCTTCTTTCAGATAGTCGAAAAGTAGTCGATTCATTCAATCCACACAAGAGGTGAAATGACCGATTCATCCTTCCGGCTGGTGGAGTACTCATTTTGCAAATGACAGATTTCCATTCCCGTTTCGGCGATATGTCACGAACAATGTTTCACATCTTACACTAACATTCCGACTAACATCTTTTCGATGCCTGTTTGCATTTGCATGACAACAAAATAAAGAAATATACCTACCCTTCCCTCCCAATCGCATTTATCAATAACAGTAAAATAAAAAAGGCCCCAAAATTGCGCAAAAATTAGTCCAAAAATGTTCTTATAGTCCGTGAGTCCAATGGTCCAGTCCTATATTTCTTAATAGCGCGTTTGGCGACGCTCAATGGACCTCAAGATTCTTTCTTAAGCGGGTTGTTTGTGGAAGATAAGTGTTTTTCTGTGTAAGTAACAATCCATCTCAAATATAAGTGAAAAAAATCAACGTTTATAATCAACGTTTAGCTAAAACGCAGTTTTAGATAACAACTACTAAAATTAAGTACGTTTGAATAACAACCACGAAACGTTTGCGTTAATTGACCTCTGGGCGTTGAGTTAATACAAAAGTGAAAGTCACCCAGACATTTAACAGTTGCAAACAAAGCAAAAAGTACTGCTCGTATCCGCAGTCAAGTGACTATTAGGGATTCACACATCTATTTAAAAGATCATATTTTACAAGCTGGGTAGCCCGTGTTCTCTGATTTAATTATAGAAGCACTACGAGAACAATTGATGTAGATGAAAAGATTTGCTGAACAATAGTGTGCTGTTTTTAACCACTGGATGTTTTGCCCACCTCACCACAGAGAACTCCTTATTTAACAAACTTGTAGCATTCACAAATAGGCATGATAAGAAATATATCGTTTAAGGGACCTTTCATTGCACTGCTTAAAGTCGAACCGACAAACCAAGATCATTTGCAGCGCTGACGCATAAATTTTGGGTGTCTGGCGTGATTATTTGTAAAAATAATTTTTTGATAATCTTTGCGAAACGGCGTTGAACGAGATTATATCTATATGATAGTCACTTCCTTAAAAGATGCATGGTCACTTACAGAGCATAATTCTGGCTAACTCCATTCAGTTTGGACCAAAATGCCAGTTGAGAGTATCAGTTTCCGTGTTAAGCTGGTTGCCAATCGTTCGGTAAGTCTGGCAATTATTTGCCTATTTGATTTTGTAAATGGAATCGATAGTTTCAATCATTACGCGAGAAAAGCGACCTTTTTCGCTTTGTTTTTGGTAGTCTTACAACGACGTACGATTGAGGAATGATTGGTTTGTTCATTTATTGCATTTCTATAACTTAGCGCATACCATAATCAACTGAAACGTAAGTTGAAAATCTTTATCACAGTGACTCACCTGAATATCGAATTACGCAAAGAAATGTGATGTATTGTGAAACGATAACAAATTCCATTTCAGCTACTGCAATTTCCTGGATGGCTGAGATTTGTACTTTTGTCACAAGTCTTCATCTGAAAATAATTTCATCTACCGTGACAAATCAAAGATTACGTGATGATAATTACCCACGATTCCCTCTGGACCGATCGACTTTTATCATCATTCAGTGTGAAGTATTTTATATCATTCTTATACGTCGAGCTCCCGCGAATTTTGTTGCTCAGTGAGAACTATTCACCTGTGATTGCGTCAGCGACAACAGATAAAAGGTATTTTGAAACAAATCATCCCCTGATGATTACTTTAAGAAAAGCGCTCATATCAGCTCTAGTTCTTGGTGTTTCAATTGTTAAGAAAATTCAGATGTTCATGTTTACGACTCTAGCTTGGATATCTGGCTTTTAATCGAGACATTACGCTGCTTGAATTCTAGTCGACTATGATAATAATAATTATAATAAGAATGATAACAATCATGATGATAATGATGATGATGATGATGATAATAATAATAATAATGATAATAATAATAGTGAGATAAAAAGGTGAAAAAGTCAAGCAGCATGACTAAGGATATCAAACCAAACGGGCACTTAAATCATCTCATTACTAATGTTACTGATATACTGTGTACTCATCAGGTGCTGTTGCTGACTTTCAGCTTATGACGTCCCGCAAATTCGGAAATCTAGTAGTAGCGTTAATCTCTGGTTGATGTCCGTTTATACTGAGGGAGCGGTTATGTCCCACAGAAACGATTAAGGTAACCATGCTTGCCATTGCTCTCGAGATCAACTATGCAACTTATTCGCGAGTGATCATATAACAGTGGAAAACCTGGTAAACTTTCCCTTTAACAATTTTGAAATTGAATGAACGGGAGCTTCAGTAATTTATGGTTATTATTATCTCTAAAATATATTCTGGGGGGTATGCTCGTTGTACGTTTGCCGTAAATCTGCGAGTAAAGAGGTAAAAGAACGAGAAAATAGAAAGCTTTGGCTTGGGTGAATCTACAGTTATATGCATGATTTGTTCGCTCTGAGAGATCGCCTCTAAAGACTTAGTCAAGACAGTGGGTGAGAAGACAATCTTTTGACAAATTCTTTGAAAATTCCTTAAGATACGGTCATTTGGGATTGATAAATTGTGACATTTAAAACACACGTAATTCGTAAACCCTTGGTTGTCATTCCTCTTTGGCATATACTAGAACAGTAAATATCATCATCGTGGCGGAAGTGACGAGAATAGCTTCTACATATTTCGGAAGAGCGACAACGCAATGACGTATCACAATAATTTTAAAAAGGTTTGACTTCAAAAATATCCACCTTTCGCTCATAAAATTAGCTGACTCCGCCCTTCTTTAGTAGAGCCCTGTTTGATCGAGTGCTGCAAATCAAACCCACAGTTTGTCACAATAGCCAGTCAGGAGAATGGAAAATATCACAGTGAGTTTATGAGAAGTCAATCACAAGATATGTCAGCGGTCTTAAGGCGATTTCTCAGAAAAAGAATTATCGAGCTATTTCGTTAAACTTTCCTTAAATGTTCCCTACCAATGTCTTTTTTGAAAAATACAATAAAAAAGATAGGTTACAATGCTCGTTTAGGAGATATGATAAGCCTATCTAACCTCATTTATGCCTGTGCTGGAAATAATTACACGCGTCTTTTCATCGGTTCATGGTATATTTTTTTAGTAGCTGGAAGCAAGGGTTTTTAAAGTAACACTTAAATAAAACTTGATAGATAAAAAGTCTCGAGCGTATGGAAAAATTTGGTAAATAATTTGCGGAAAATCACGCGGGAATGTCTTGTGAACCTTAATGTAGGAATCACGTTACAAAAGTTCGAGCTGTTCTAACTTACACAGAACTATTTAAATACTGCCTGGATCCTAGTTCGCACTGATAGTCATATTAATAAACGAAAGCATCATTTTGACATCGATGAAGACATCATATTGTCCTGCATTCGAACATCCGTCTTCGGCAGAAGCTACGCCTGTTAATACAAATCGTCCATCGATCCCTGGACAAACTAGAGGCGCACCCCTCTCGACATTACAACCTCGGGTTTTCCCTCGGGTGAAGTTTGCACATACTTCATACTCGGAGAGTTTTCCACTGTATGATGCATTACAGTCTTGAAATGGGGCTATTTCAACTTGGGCTTCGTTCAACACATCCGTGAAATTCCCGTCCTTTTTGGCAGACTGCCAACTGGTCACGTAACACGAAGAATTTACGTTAACGTTTGCATCGTCTTCCGGAAGACAGATAGGAAGAACTCGCTTGTGAAGGACAGCTTCTCGCTTCATTTTCAGCAGTGTGACATGATGTTTTGCACTGGTGTAGATTTCTTTGACTTTAATACTTTCTTCGTATCCCTCGATGACTTTTCGGTCATGTTCACCGAGCCGGACCATCCAGTTATCGGTATTGTGGCTTGTGTTCAAACAAGTTGCCGAAGTCAGAATCCAGTGCCGGTCGATCAAAGAGCCGCTACACGCATGCGTATCTTTGAATAGCAGCTCAACCTGCCACGGCCAGGAGTTGGGACGAGCCTCGTTATGGCTGAGAGCAGGAGAACTTTCCGAGGATAGGAAGCGGGTGCCACATTTCGGATGACCTAAACAGAATGAATAAAATAATCAAAATTCATCGGAGAATCGCCACCATCAAAATAACTGTCTGAAATAAAGAAGTTAACAGTCTTTTCAGTGCATTTATTGAATTGGCCGTGCCCTTAAAAAATTTCGCGAGTTTTCTTTCAGATTTCAAATGTGAATTTTTTTGAAAACAGGGTACATCTGTACAAAGGAAAGTTAAGCAAGTGTACGTGACAGTTCTAGGCAATAATGGGTAACAGCAAAATATTACTCACTAGGTAAACCTTAAGACCAAACTTAACCTGCCAGACACAGTAAGAGCTGGACGATAGCGGATCCAAAAGGCAACCAAAGCCGTTGAGATACTTATTCTCTTTTCACTTAGTATATACTTTTTCCATCAGTTAAAACTAAACCAAAGCTACACCAGTGACTGATCAGGACAAATTAAAATCACTGAAAGGCGGAAAAAACAACCAAACAAGGCCACGATTTGATTTGTTTTGCTACTCAGGGATTTGTTGCCATCGGGTAACATGTATTCTCATCGACCAATCAAAGAGCGAAGCAAAAATGCACTATGCTGGGTTAATCTACACGACTCACCGTATAGGGTAGCCGTGTAGCCGTACCTATTTTCTTTTCACTCAGTGTATACTTTTCCATCAGTTAATTGTCATTAACACTAAACCAAAGCTATACCAATGGCTAATCAGAACAAAGAAAAATAACTGAAAGGCGAAAAAGACAACCAAACAAGGCTACGATTTGTTTTTGTTTTGCTTCGCAGTGATTTGTTGCCATCAGGTAACACGTATTCTCATCGACCAATCACAGAGCGAGGAAAAAATGCACTATGTCGGCTTATTCTACGCGACTTACCGTATAGGGTACCCTCAATGAATGGCAGCATGTAGCGCACATCTAAATACACGCCATATTTATTAGCTCGGGCGCAGCCTTCACCCCAGCTTACAACGCCCGTCAGTACGAAACGGCCATCCTCATTTTGACAAGCCAGCGGTCCTCCGCTATCACCACCACACGAGTCTTTACCACCGCCTTGAAAACCAGCGCAAAGATAACGTTCGTGTATAGCACCATTGTAAGAAATATTGCTGTTACAGACTTCTTTAGATACAAGGTTCACCTCCACTTCTCGAAGAACACCTGAATACTCAGTTGCATTTTCTTCTTCCCTTCCCCATCCGGTGGCAAAACAGGATTTTCCTGTTGGAAAGGTAGTGTCCATATCAGGCAGACATATTGAATGTACTCGGCTGTGGAACAACGCTGGTCGCTTGAGCTTGACGAGGGCGATGTCGTAATCGCCGGGTCCGTAAGAAAGGTTTAATCCCGGATGTATCGTGACGTGTTCAATTTCGATCCTTTCCTCGTAGCCTTCGAATTTTGTCTCGTTATGCTCCCCAACCCTAACATGCCACCAGTCTACTTGTGGAAAAAAATAAAAGCAATGGCCAGAGGTCACAACCCACGAAGGATCAATCAGCGAGCCGCCACAATAGTGAGAAGTACCATTTACGAGAAGATCAACTTGCCACGGCCAGGTGTTGGGGCGAGCTTCTAGGCCTCCTACGATTCGGGAGGAAGGGGAAGGAACTGGACGAA